CCAAGACCAAATATTTAAGTGCCTTTAAACGGAGTATGGTAGTAGGTGCCAGGAGCACCGGTTGTGTCAAGAACTGCAACACTGCTGGGTTTTTCACACTCAACAGTTTCCTGTGTGCATCAAGAATGGTTCACCACCCAAAGGACATCTAGCCAACTTGACACAACTGTGGGAAGCATTGGAGTCTACATGGGCCAGCATCCCTGCGGAACGCTTTCGACATCTTGTAGAGTCCATGCTCCGACGAATTGAGGCTGTTCTGAGGGCAAAAGGGGGGAGGGTGCAACTCAATACTAGGAAGGTGTTCTTAATGTTTTGTACACTCAGTGTATAAGTATATAGTAGAATTTGACTTACCTTTCCTAATACAGGTGTGGCCCGCGCTGAAGATGGCCTGCAACAAAAACAGTAGAACATGAAAGATGCTCCCATTATTAACCACTGACATAAATCCCATTTTACAATAACACAAAAAACACCCAAACACAACTGACTTTGAAATGTGTATGGTCTGGCCATGAGAACAACCCAGGGAGACCTGGCGGCAGAGCTCCCTATGCCTCAGGCGGAAAGAAGCCTACAGATGCGTCCCAAATGGCACCCTATTCTCTACACAGGGCCCTGCTCAAAAGTAGTGCACTATACTGTATAGGGAATAGAGTATTATTCGGAACGCAAGCAACGTGTGTTTAATGAAGTGTAGGACTTAAAGCCACTTGCTTGATTTCTAAAGGAGCTGAAGGGAAATGTATACCTCCTAGGACTCTCTATCAGCCAGCCTCCATTAGAGACAGAGAGAGACAGAGACAGAGACAGAGACAGACATACAGACATACAGACAGACAGACAGACAGACAGACAGACAGACAGACAGACAGACAGACAGACAGACAGACAGACAGACAGACAGACAGACAGACAGACAGACAGACAGACAGGCAGACAGGCAGGCCGACAGACAGGCAGACAGGCAGACAGACAGACAGACAGACAGACAGACAGACAGACAGACAGACAGACAGACAGACAGACAGACAGACAGACAGACAGACAGACAGACAGGCAGACAGGCAGGCCGACAGACAGGCAGACAGGCAGGCAGGCAGACAGACAGACAGACAGACAGACAGGCAGGCAGGCAGACAGACAGACAGACAGACAGACAGACAGACAGACAGACAGACAGACAGACAGACAGACAGACAGACAGACAGACAGACAGACAGACAGACAGACAGACAGACAGACAGACAGACAGAGGGAAGGAGGGAGAGACAGATAGAAAGAGGGAAGGAGGTAGAGACAGACAGATAGACAGAGGGAAGGAGGTAGAGAGAGACAGCTCTCTGTGGGACTGAGCAGCCTGCCACATCACTGTCAAATCCAGAGTGAAGGAGCCTTAGTCTCCTCCAACAATGAGCTGAACGTATTCTCAGAGTGAAGGAACCTTAGTCTCCTCCAACAATGAGCTGAACGTATTCTCAGAGTGAAGGAACCTTAGTCTCCTCCAACAATGAGCTGAACGTATTCTGCCTCACATTAGTCAGTCAGTCAGTCAGTCAGTCAGTCAGTCGGTCACATGAGAAAGCACTGACAGCAGTAGAAGAATAATGACATTGGTCAGAGATTCAATGGTCATTTCATTATGTTACCTCGTTACGTGATCATTCTATGTATTGCTTCTATGGTGGCTGGCTTGTAATCGAAAAAATATTAAATTCAGTTGCTAATCTTCACGTCACCCGGTAGAATATAATTGATTTCACCAAACAGAATGGCTGCATCCCAAATGGTACCCTATACCCTATATAGTGTACTACTTTTGACCACAGCCCTGGTCAAAAGTAACAAACTATATAGGGAATAGGCCCTAAGACATTCTTTATGCTCAAATAAGAAATTACTGATTGAATGCAAATATCATTCCATGATCAAAGCGTCAAACATACTACATCTCTGTTACATTAAAGGTGAAACGTCGAGGCCATTGTGCATTGTACATTCCAAGGACGTTTGGTTTTTAAAGGGAATTTAACATAAACAGAGGAAGGAGTTTTCACTAGTCCTTCAGCATGGCCTTTTCGCTGAAAAAACAAAAATATCATCGCTCTCATAGGATGCATCTCAAATGACCCATTGGGAACTGGTCAAAAGTAAAACACTATATAGGGAATAGGGCGCCATTTGAGATACACCCATAGAATTCTCAAAGATATTGCCAATGTTGTGCCTGTTTGCGCTAACTCACTGTGTAATGCATGGGCTGGCGGTGCTCTCTGTTATGGGAGGTGGGCTGGGGCCGCTCATCCATTTGGTCTGGTCCACCACGGTGCGGGCATGGGGGAGGCGGCCAACGTCCCTCACCCTCACCAGCAGGTGGCGACACGTCTTCAGGATCCTCACCGCCTCGTCATGGAGGATGGCCATGAAGCTCCGCCCATTCACCTCCAGCAGCTGGTCGCCCACCTGAACACACAGAGAGGAGAGGGTGGGTGCACTGGTAGAGAGGTGGTGTATTCAGACAGGCACTGATACACACACACACACACACACACACACACACACACACACACACACACACACACACACACACACACACACACACACACACACACACACACACACACACACACACACAAGTGCCATGGCTTTTCCTGATAGTCTTGAACAGTGAATGTCATTCCAACAGTCAAGGCCAGTATTCAGGAGAGAGCAGAGCAGACATTCTGATAGCTGCAGCTCAAGGTTCAGGCATTAACACAACCTACACTGAAGCAGAACATAGCGCACTCGAACCCGCCACAGCGATGTGTAGGCTACGCAGTTTCTTTATTGACTAACTACTGCCCTCACACACACACACTTCTTATTCTAGAAACAATCTGTGGTTTTATTCCACCATGGGAACAGGAGATACTAGCCTGGTCAAGCAGAATGACCGCTGCGCTCAACTTTCATTTCACTTCATACGTAAAGTGAAACAGCATGTGAGCTTTTGCAAGATTAGGCTGGTTTCACCAGGCTAAGGAACTACTAGAGAAAGACAGCAATTTGGTTTGATTGACTTGTGCCCTAAACCGAGTAGGATCCATCTATGGTTAGTAATGAAAACAGAAAATGCTGAAAGGAGGATATCACTGATAGTGAGAGGCCAAATCTATAGAAGGAACATCATTCATAAAACCTTGTCTTCTTAGAACACAACACCGTGGAAAAACAATCAATGATTATCTCCCAGCCTATTCATTCTTCTAATGCACAAACAAAACACTTGACAGACATGGTGATTTACAATTTTTTATGCCCTTCCATATTCTTCCTGTTAGACATTTATGAGAAGCAGTTAAGCTTTGATTTGAGCTTGATAATTATTAGTAAGCAAAACATGATCTACCGATCTACAAGGATACAATAGTAATTAGTAGTATCATTATGTAACGTGACTAGTATCTAATAGAAATTAAATTCATATAGATTGGAGTGTATCAATGTTGTTTTTCCATCAAGTCTTATGCTGGTCTTCTCAGAGTACCAGGATGAGTTGGTCACCTGAGTGGTCTGGGGTGGTCTAGCTCTCTCCCAGCTGCCTATTGATCTCTCTATTCTATCCAGCAGACATAAAACATACGAAAGGATGTTTTCTTTTCCCACTCCTTAAAAAAGAAGAAAAAAAGAGTGAGTTGGTCTAAACACAGGAGAAGCTGACAAGACACCATGGCATTACTGAACCTCTTCCATTGGCCTTTTCTCTTTCCACAAGAGGAAGTAAAGAGGGGAATTAGTTATTGACTGCTTCCCTCCTCTCTCTCCCTCCCTCCCTCCCTCCCAACACTAATGCATTTACATTCAGAGGAAGAATCAGCTTGAGTGAACCTCCATAACTCATTGAAGTGGAGGGAGAGTGGAGGGAGGGATGGGAGGGTAAGAGGGGAGAGAGGGAGTGAGGGTGAGAGGGCCAGATTTACACCCCCCAGCCGAGGTCTCTTGAGCTGCAGCCACTGGAGGGGAGAGTGTTACTGTAGGGCTCTGCTCAAAAGTAGTGCACTATAAAGGGAATAGGGTACCATTTGGGACGCACCCACGGTCTGTGTCCCCCCAAACCCCCTGCCTCTGTAATGCTTACTCTGTGACAATATGGGACCCCTCCAGCGTACTGGAACTCAAATGCTCAAAGTCGATAGATTGAACCGTCATATCCAAGTGGCTGTTTCATTGATCATCTGAGACGGTTATGTGTCAGACGAGATTGAGAGGAGAGGAGCAATTGTTCATACACAATGTTCTTGTGCTTTCTCAGAGAGAGAGCGAGAGAGAGAGAGAGAGAGAGAGAGAGAGAGAGAGAGAGAGAGAGAGATCAGAGAGAGAGAGAGAGAGAGAGAGAGAGAAGCGAGGAGAGAGGCGAGAGGAGATTGTTTTTTTGAGAGAGAGGAGTGAGAGAGAGAGAGAGAGAGAGAGAAGAGAGAGAGAGAGAGAGAGAGAGAGAGAGAGAGAGAATAATAGATAGTTCAATGCAGACTAAAAGGGCAGGCTGCTATTTTGGGCAGCCGAGACAGTTGGCTGACTTTAGATGGTGTGTGGCCTGAGAGAGAGTAGCCATAAAGGACACCGGTAGAGCAAATGGATAATCTCCCAAAGACACTAAATGTTCTTTTTCAGAGGGTCCTGTCCCATCGCTAGCCAAAGAGACAAGACACTGGCGCGTATCTGTGGATGAGAAGCGACAGACAGACACATCACTGGGCTGGCCTGTTGAAAGAAAGGGAAAGGAAGGGCTGGAGGCTGGACCGATCCCCGCAGGGGAGCGACACTAATTAAAGGCCATGTCAGGGCACCCAGCGGACAACAGCTGGATCCAGATTGGCTGATAGAGGTCCTCGTTACAGGGCTGACACCTGGATGGTTTGACGGTGTCTTATTGCTCCTCAGTGATTGGATGACTAATAGGATGTATTTAGTGGAGTTTAGTTTACCTCCTGTCAGAGGACAGGAGAGGACAGGAGAGGACAGGACAGGAGTGGACAGGACAGGAGTGGACAGGAGTGGACGGGAGTGGACAGGAGAGGACAGGACAGGAGTGGACAGGACAGGAGTGGATGGGAGTGGACAGGAGAGTGACAGGAGAGGAGAGGACAGGAGAGGACAGGACAGGAGTGGACGGGAGTGGACAGGAGAGTGACAGGAGAGGAGAGGACAGGAGAGGACAGGACAGGACAGGACAGGAGTGGACAGGACAGGAGTGGACAGGAGTGGACAGGAGAGTGACAGGAGAGGAGAGGACAGGAGAGGACAGGACAGGACAGGACAGGAGTGGACAGGACAGGAGTGGACGGGAGTGGACGGGAGTGGACAGGAGAGTGACAGGAGAGGAGAGGACAGGACAGGAGTGGACAGGAGTGGACGGGAGTGGACAGGAGAGTGACAGGAGAGGAGAGGACAGGAGAGGACAGGACAGGACAGGAGAGGAGCGGTTTCTCTTAGCTTCTGCAAAAGAACTCCAGAAAAGGCCTTGAATCCAAAGAGCAACCTTGAATTAGCCTCATTAAACCAGCCTGATCTTGCTAGCTCACATGCTGGTTCATTGCACGTATAAAGACATGAGCACAGCATTCAGTCTGCTTGACCATGCTAACATTGTATGTCCCTGCTTCTCAAGAGTATTTCTCTAACACATCATTCACAGGGCTATGCATCACTTCATCCATTTATAACCAACGGGTTATATTTAGAACATTAACCTGTGTCTAATTGGATGGTTTTAGGAGTGATTCATGTCATTTCATCTTATGCATTGATGTAGTGGTAAAAAACAATAGCTGTGAAAACTCTGATCGCTGGTCATGATGAAAAAAGTAACACTCCCTATCCTTTCAATACTTTTTCTTGGGTGAATTGTCGAGCAAAAAAAAAAGTGGTCAAACTGTGTTTGCCCTCCACTACACCACTGGTCTTATGGATACATATGCGTATCAAGTTATGCATTCATAGCCACGTTCTGAGACATGGCATAATCATTAATGGACAAACTGTGTTACACTATTAAGCCAAATGAGCAATGGAATTATTTCAGCTGTATCTATCAGAGTGGTGCAGTAATAGATTAGCATTCATACTTTACAGCTGTCAGTGTGTGTGTGTGTGTGTGTGTGTGTGTGTGTGTGTGTGTGTGTGTGTGTGTGTGTGTGTGTGTGTGTGTGTGTGTGTGTGTGTGTGTGTGTGTGTGTGTGTGTGTGTTTTATTCATTTTAAACCTCAGCCCTTTCCTTTTCTCCTTAGAACAGATATTCATAAACTAAGCCCACTATCAGTAAACACGATTTGTATTCAAGGCAGTAAGAGGTAAAACTTTAATTAATAAATCTCCTAATTAATGCCCGCAACCCCATACAGCTTTACGTGTTTCCCACTGATATATCTCAGAGGTAGCAGACAGACAGGCCTCAAGTCAGTGTTCACCAGGCTGAGGTAAGAGAGCGGTAGAGGCAGCGTTTCCCAAACTCGGTCCTCGGGACACTAAGGGGTGCACGTTTTGGTTTTTGCCCTAATACTACACAGCTGATTCAAATGATCAAAGCTTGATGATTAGTTGATTATTTGAATCCACTGTGTAGTGCTAGGGCAAAAAACTAAACGTTTTTGGGAGTCTGGGAAATCCTGGGAAGAAAGAGGACAAGGGACATGAGAGATGGACAGAGGGAGTGAAAACAGAGAGAGAGAGGGAGAGAGGTAAAGGCAAACAGAGACGGCCTCCTGAGGGGAACAGACAGCCTCTTTACCTACTTCCTCCTCTAATGTCAATATCACTCACTCTGCCACGGACAGTCCAGGTTGTCATCCAGTGGTGGCTAGTGGCACATTAATCGGAAGATGTGCTTATAGAAATGTCTGGAACGGAATGAATGGAACAGTATGAAACACACCAAACCACGTGTTTGATACCATTGCACCAATTCCATTCCAGACATTCCTATGAGGCGTCCTCCTCTCACCAGCCTCCGCTGTCATTGTGAGTAGCATTGGCCCCGGAGCCCTAGTCTCCATCCAAAATGGCACCCTATTCATGCACTACACTGAGTGTAGATGAAGGGGAGGAGACAGGTTAAAGAAGGATTTTTAAGCCTTGAGACAATTGAGACATGGATTGTGAGGGTGAATGGGCGCATTGGTTTGTGTCAAGAACTGCAACGCTGCTGGGTTTTTCATGCTCAACAGTTTCCCTTGTGTATCAAGAATGGTACACCACCCAAAGGACATCCAGCCAATTTGACACAACTGTGGGAAGCAGTGGAGTCAACATGGGCCAGCATCCCTGTGGAACGCTTTCCACACCTTGTACAGTCCATGCCCTGACGAATTGAGGCTATTCTGAGGGCAAATGGGAGGGAGGTGTTCTTAATGCTTTGTACACTCAGTGCATATGGCACACTATTAGTGCACTATATAGGGAATAGGGTACCATTTGTGACACAGCCCTAACACTCAGCTGCTAGCGTGCCTGGCCTCAGTCCCTGCCTCCCCCTGCCACAGCCAGCTAGAGAGCACAACACAGCCTTCATCTCTTCATCTCTCTGTCAAAGAAACTCTGCCAAAATGTCAAATCTTTCAAGAGACCAGGCTTAGATTTAGTGTGGCTTTCTGTTGTTTTTTTATAGCTCTGTTTCTGGGAGAAGATTTGTCCTCCTAAGGGGGATGGCATGTTTGAACTGGGGTTTAGTGAGATAGATACCTGCCAGATCTCTTTCCGAACCCAGCCATGCCATGATACAATGGTGCCATGATTCAGTCATGCTGTTTACAAGCACACTAGTCCTGCTTCAGTCATCTGAGTTGAAGAAAACAGCAGACTAAATAAAATAATAGAGTGCAATGACCGACGTTTTGTACGTTTTTATATTTTAGTCAATTAAAAGGTGTCTGCCAGGTTTCGACACAGCGACATAGACCACAGAAGACTCTTACCCCCTCTGCTTCGCGGTGTCTGAACCTTGTGGTTGCATTTTAGTCGCTGTGGTGGGGTGAAACAATTTCAATAGGATATGCATGGTAATAATCTGTTAATACCTTGAGTCCCCCGTGGTCTGCAGCCGAGCCGGGGTCTACTCCAGTGATGAAGATACCCAGGCCATACTCCGCCCCTCCCCTGATCATCAGGCCCAGAGAGAGACCATCGTCCAGGTTCAGGTTCACCTTCAGGGACAGACAGAGAGGGCAGTCACCAGACATCCTGGAAGTGACAGTGTGCATCCCAAATGGTACCCAATTATTTTAAGTATGCAACATAAAGAATGTCCGAGCACCCTTGCTTTACAAATTACTGTATATATCAAAGGTGCAGAGGTAACATCAACCATTCCCTCCTACACATGAGGCTAGATGCCCAGAGGGAGGAGTCCCAAATTAAAGACCTGACTCTCCATTGGCCGAGATTCACGTCCCCTGGCTCCGCCTGAAGACTAGCAACACATCATCATACCCTGTATGGGGGCCTGGGGCCTGGGGCCTGGGGCCTGGGCTGAGATATAGTACTAACAGGGGCTTCGTCCCAAATAGCATCCCATTCCCTACATAGTGCACTACTTTTGACCAGGGATAAAGGCCCAGTCGTGGTCAAAAGTTTTGAGAATGACACAAATATTAATTTTCACAAAGTCTGCTGCCTCAGGTTTTATGATGGCAATTTGCATATACTCCAGAATGTTATGAAGAGTGATCAGATGAATTGCAATTAATTGCAAAGTCCCTATTTGCCATAAAAATGAACTTAATCCCCCAAAAAATAATTCCAATGCATTTCAGCTCTGCCACAAAAGGACCAGCTGAAATCATGTCAGTGATTCTCTCGTTAACACAGGTGAGAGTGTTGACGAGGACAAGGCTGGAGATCACTCTGTCATGCTGATTGAGTTAGAATAACAGACTGGAAGATTTAAAAGGAGGGTGGTGCTTGAAATCATTGTTCTTCCTCTGTTAACCATGGTTACCTGCAAGGAAACACGTGCCGTCATCATTGCTTTGCACAAAAGCGCTTCACAGGCAAGGATATTGCTGCTAGTAAGATTGCACCTAAATCAACCATTTATCGGATCATCAAGAACTTCAAGGAGAGAGGTTCAATTGTTGTGAAGAAGGCTTCAGGGCGCCCAAGAAAGTCCAGCAAGCGCCAGGACCATCTCCTAAAGTTGATTCAGCTGCGGGATCGGGGCACCACCAATGCAGAGCTTGCTCAGGAATGGCAGCAGGCAGGTGTGAGTGCATCTGCACGCACAGTGAGGCGAAGACTTTTGGAGGATGGCCTGGTGTCAAGAAGGGCATCGAGAAAGCCACTTCTCTCCAGGAAAAACATCAGGGACAGACTGATATTCTGCAAAAGGTACCGGGATTAGACTGCTGAGGACTGGGGTAAAGTCATTCCGATTGTTTGGGGCATCCGGAAAAAAGCCTGTCAGGAGAAGACAAGGTGAGCGCTACCATCAGTCCTGTGTTATGCCAACAGTAAAGCATCCTGAGACCATTCATGTGTGCGGTTGCTTCTCAGTCAAGGGAGTGGGATCACTCACAATTTTGCCTAAGAACACAGCCATGATCAGTTTGGTGACGATTTCCAGCATGATGGAGCACCTTGACATAATGCAAAAGTGATAACTAAGTGGCTCGGGGAACAAAACATCGAGATTTTGGGTCCATGGCCAGGAAACTCCCCAGACCTTAATCCCATTGAGAACTTGTGGTCGATCCTCAAGAGGCGGGAGGACAAACAAAACCCCACAAATTCTGACAAACTCCAAGCATTGATTATGCAAGAATGGGCTGCCATCAGTCAGGATGTGGCCCAGAAGTTAATTGACAGCATGCCAGGGCGGATTGCAGAGGTCTTGAAAAAGAAGGGTCAACACTGCAAATATTGACTCTTTGCATAAACTTAATGTAATTGTCAATAAAGCCTTTGACACATGGAATGCTTGTAATTACACTTCAGTATACCATAGTAACATCTGACAAAAATATCTAAAAACACTGAAGCAGCAAACTTTGTGAAGACCAATACTTGTGTCATTCTCAAAACTTTTGACCATGACTGTAGTACATAGAGAATAGGATGCCATTTAAGACTATATCACTGTCACTTTTATTACATTTAACATCTCAGGCTATCTGAATCTCACCCAAATACAGAGAAAAATAAACAGTTAGAAATGTTCTGCAGGATTAAATTAGCTCCCGTAGCCCTTGACTATTCCCACAGTTTATTTACTGAATGTAAATCTGTTTTTAAGATCCTTGGGCTGAGTTTGGCCATCATCTTAGTTTCCTTTTAAATCTGCAGTGCTGTGCAAAGCTTTGTACCGTACCCCGGCTGCCTGGCTGGTCTGTGGCGCTGACGATGCAGTCTCACATCAATAGATGAGAGCGGTACCGGACAGAGCAGAGGAAAGCACAGGGCTGGGCTGCACCCCAAATGGCACCTTATTCACTATATAAATTAGATCACTACTTAGACCAGGGCCCATGGGGTTCTTGTCAAAAGTAGTGCACTACATAGGGAATAGGGTGCCATTTGTGATGCTGCCTGGGTAAATGGAGAGCTCAGTGAGGCTCCACGTCGATTTCTGCCTCCTCCTCCTCCTCCTCCTCCTCCTCCTCCTCCTCCTCCTCCTCTTCCTCCTCATCTTCCTCCTCCTCCTCTTCCTCCTCCTCCTCCTCTTTCTCTTCCTCCTCCTTCTCCTGTTCACCCCCTCCATTAGTTGTGTGTTGTCAAACATGAGTGGCCATTTGACCGCTATGTCAGCCATATTGAAACAACTGAGAGAAAATATGTTTTAGATTCTCTGAGGTATTCAATCCACTCACCGTCTTCTCAAGCGTCTCCTGTGTGTGTCCTGTACGTCTCTGGCTGTGTTGTGGTCCCAGGGTGCTTTGCTGCTCCTGCTGCTCTAGGTCGGAGGGAGGGGACACACTGCGGCCCTGAGGGTCCACCCAGGCATACATGTGGTTGGTGACATACCCCCCAGGGATACGGCCCACTGAACACACTGACATGGCCAGCTTCTTACAGCCTTTCAGGACCTGCATGGAGGAGAGGGGAGGGGATTCAGTTCAGTTAAAAACACTTTATTCATCGCAAAGGGTAATTGAATCTGTGCATGTGAGAGTGCAACAACCACATGACAGTATACCACAGACATACAGTACCACACATGACATGTAGTACAGCAGCGTGGGTGGAAGAAGAGGACAGGGGTGTTGTTTGCTAACGTCAGTCATGACGTGGCTCTATAGAACAGCTAACACTGTAGCTAACACACACACCAGTGTTTTCCCTATATTCATTTAGCTGCGGCGGGCTGGTAAAACGTTTTCACTGTAAACTTAAACTAGATATAAAATATGTAGAAAAGATAATGGAGCTATATATTTTTAAATAAGATCCTCTTTGAGAACTAACAACCACCTAAATAAAAACTACAATGTTTGAGTCACTCAGATACTGTAGCATAAGAACATGGCATAAGCCAAAATGTGTAGAATTGTAGGAAATGTGCTTTAAAACAGCTCCATTTAGTCTCTGCGACCAAGAGGGCCTCTATAGGTTTTGGTCAGAGACCGCACCATTAGCCATGCCCACTGCATCGCTGCTGAAAATAATCCTAGCGGGAAACACTGCACACACACACACACACACACACACACACACACACACACACACACACACACACACACACACACACACACACACACACACACACACACACACACACACACACACACACACACCCGCCCACAGACACACACCAGTGCTCACACACAGACACACACACAGACACACATACACAAACCAGCCCACACACACACACACACAGACACACAGACACACACACAGACACACACACATTCCACTCTGACTCACAGCCAGATATACCCCGTCAGATCGGCCTTGTAAGTCTAGCTGATTATGTACGTAGAGGCTCCACCATAATGGGATGATATAGATGCATCCTCTCAGGATGAACCTTCGTCATACCTCCATCACTGTCTTCATTGTGTTCTGATTGAAAACAGTGAAGCTCATAGCTGGCGTCTAGCAGCAGCGTCTAACATCATGCAGCTTCTTTATGAGCTGGAGAATTAGAGTGGTTGAGGCCACAGCTCTCTCAGTGGCTGTCCTCTGACTCATCTGCACAGACATATATATACACAGGGCCACACACACAGGACCACACACACACAGGGCCAAACACACACAGGGCCACACACACACAGGGCCAAACACACACAGGGCCACACACACACGGCCAAACACACACAGGGCCACACACACACAGGGCCACACACACACAGGACCACACACACACAGGACCACACACACACAGGGCCACACACACACAGGGTCAAACACACACAGGGCCACACACACACAGGGCCAAACACACACAGGGCCACACACACACAGGACCACACACACACAGGGCCAAACACACACAGGGCCACACACACACGGCCAAACACACACAGGGCCACACACACACAGGGCCACACACACACAGGACCACACACACACAGGACCACACACACACAGGGCCACACACACACAGGGTCAAACACACACAGGGCCAAACACACACAGGGCCACACACACACAGGGCCAAACACACACAGGGCCAAACAAACACAGGGACACACACACACAGGGTCAAACACACACAGGGCCAAACACACACAGGGCCAAACACAGACATACACACACACACTGTAATGCGTCTCTACACAACAAAGTCTGAGGGGGCAGGGGCATCATGTGGTGAGTAGGATCTCCCTGGAGGCAACACGCTGTCCCTATCTACAGGATGGCTGTCTGATCCTTTAGAGAGAGAGAGACAGAGAGAAGAGCCAGAGAGAGAGAGAGAGAGAGAGAGAGAGAGAGAGGAGAGAGGAGAGAGAGAGAGAGAGAGAGAGAGAGAGAGAGAGAGAGAGAGAAAGAGAAGAGAGAGAAGAAGAGAGAGAGAGGAGAGAGACAACCACATACAGACAACAGACACACAACAAGAGAAGCATACGCTGATATAGAGAGCAATAGACTCGATTTTCGACCAGCTCTCTCCCTCTCCTCCTTCATCTCTATCTTCCCTCTCGAGAGAGAGGAGAGAGATATTAATAATATTTCCTGTTTTGTTTTGGCTTTCATACCATGTATGTGTCTTTCTCAGTCCATGTTGAGATTGTTTTGAACTACTATTGGCTTCTAATGTATTGTTATTCTCATTAATAATTGTTGTGTGTAGTTGCGTGTTAAACTGTAATCCCGATTTCCACCGACTTATACTATTATTATTATTGCTTGTTGGTCCCACCCATTTTGTTATATCTATACTTTGACAATATAAGTAATTTTAATTGCCATGTCAATAAAGTCTATTGAATTGAATTAGAGAGAGAGAGAGAGAGAGAGAGAGAGAGAGAGAGAGAGAGAGAGAGAGAGAGAGAGAGAGAGAGAGAGAGAGAGAGAGAGAGAGAGAGAGAGAGAGAGAGAGAGAGAGAGAGAGAGAGGTGAACGATGGGTGAAAATAAGTTTCAGGGGTGACAGGAGAAAAAGAAAGAAGAAAGAAATAAAGATGGTAGAAGACGGCAGGCAAGAGGAGGCTTTTAATAAAGAGAAACAGGAAGCAGGGCATACAATAGGACTGACAGTTCAGTAATGAAGACAGACCAGTCAGACACAAGCAGGGGAGATGAGAAATGTACGAGCCAGGGCAGAGCTGAGCCATACACTAAACTAATGGGAGAGCGAATGAGCTGTCACACGACCAATAACTGGAACTCATGTAAAGTGCATTAGCTAGCATCTTACACCGACCTAACCCTGGAAAGCGTCTCCATAGTCACTCTCAGGGAATAGGGTGCAGCGTGAAAGATAATGTGTGTCCCAAATGGCCACTTATGGGCCCTGGTCAAAGGAATAGGGTGCCATCTCCAGGAGAGAGCTGTGCTGGAGAATGGTAGGCCCTGCAGGGCCCTCCATTGAGCTTCAGTAAAGGAAGATGAGATAGATAGCACACATGTTGTGCATGGGATGAGAACTCACCCATTGATTAAGCTATAGCTAGTTTGTCCTTCCTCTGCATTTTATATCAGCATGGACTGAATTCTACTTCCGTGAAAGAGCAGATAAATGATGCCACATTTCAACAAACCACTGCTGCCCCCTCAAAGCAAAATAGCAGCTCTTTAAACTCATTCCAAGCCTGCATCCAAAATGGCACCCTATTCCATACATAGTGCACTACTTTTGACCAGAGCCCTATGAGCCCTGGTCAAAAGGAGTGCAGGGAATAGGGTGCCATTTGGGACGCAGAACAAGCCTGGCCGTGATCCACTTTGATAATACTGACCACGCCATGGCAGCTGAGCACAAATGCTTCACGGGTTCTGCCGAGACTGCCCTTCCTTCTGGTTCGGGCAGGCTTCGGCGTTCGTCGTCACCGGAATACTAGCTGCTGCCGATCTATGTTTCATGTTTCTATGTTAATCTGGTTGTTCTCTAGTGTTGCACACCTGTTTCCAATTATGGTATTATGTCCTTCCCTATTTAACCTGTTCACTCCCAATGTGTGTTGTGCGTGTTTGTTACTTGTTTCGAGTGTCGTTTGTGAGCGGGTTTGCTCCTCCCTGTGTTGGAGGTTTTGCTTGTTTCTTTACTATACAATAAAGTAGATTTTCCTTTCATTCTGTGTCCTGCGCTTGACTCTGGCCTACCGCATTCCACAGACATTCATGACAGAAACACGCACCACTATGGAGTCAGCAGGAACAGCCAGATTAACCGAGACGATGGAGGAACGAGTCCAACAACAAGAGATGATGATTCAGACTCTCGGTGTCACCATGGAACGAGTGTTCCAGACGATGGAACGATGGGAGAGAGGGGGTATCCCGTCACCATCTCCAACCACTCAACCACCTACAACACTGGTCACCACTCCGCCACCTGGGTCCAGTGGGATTCGGCTCTCGCTCCCGAGGGCATATGACGGTACACCTGCCGGGTGCCAGGGATTTCTCCTCCAGGTAGAGCTCTACCTGGTCAACATTCACCTGGCGCCCTCGGGATACGAGAGCCAACGCCGAGTGGGGAGGAATAGACTCGAGAACTGTCCGCTACGAGGATTTCACCCGCCGCTTCCGGGTGGTATTCGATATTCCACCAGAGGGGAGAGCGGCGGGTGAACGTCTGTTCCACCTACGACAGGAGATGAGGAGCGCGCAGGAGTTTGCGCTGGAGTTTAGAACTTTAGCAGCCAGCGCGGGATGGAATGAGAGGGCCCTGATCGACCATTATCGTTGCAGCTTAAGGGAGGACGTCCGTCCGGAACTAGCCTGCAGGTACACCGATCTCAACCTGGACCAACTGGTGGACATGTCTATCAGGTTGGATAACCTGTTGGCAGCCCGCGGACGTTTTGATCGGGGGCCGTCCATTCCATCCCCCAGCACCTCCGAGCCTACCCCCATGGAGCTCGGGGAGGTGCTGCGGTTAGGGAGATAGGGAGAGGGACTGTCCCCTGCACCAACTGTGGCCGCAGAGGACACACTGCTGGTCTGTGCTGGGGAGGGTCCTCAAGAGGTCGAGGCAGCAGGCAGAGCACTGGTCGACCGTCTCAGGTGAGTAGGCACCCGACTCACCCAGAGCCCCCTGTTGCTAATCTGTGTATTGATATTGTTTTTCCAGAGTTTTTCCCCCATTCCCAGCATAAGGCGCTAGTAGATTCAGGCGCGGCTGGGAATTTTATTGATCGCCAGTATGCTCGTAGTTTAGGGATCCCTACTGTGTCTGTTGATAAACCTTTCCCTGTGCATGCATTAGATAGTCGCCCGTTAGGGTCAGGCATAATCAGGGAGGTCACCGCTCCACTTCTGATGAGGACGCAGGGGGGTCATGAGGAGAGGATTAGCCTCTATCTGATTGATTCTCCTGCATATCCTGTGGTGTTGGGACTTCCCCGGTTAACCATTCATGACCCCACGATTTCATGGCAACAGAGGGCTCTCAAGGGATGGTCCGGTCAGTGTTC